TAACCGAAGGTTAGTACTTTGTAAACATATAGCCTATCTTTGAGGATCTCCATGCTTTGTCGAACAATTAAAACTAAATTTACTCAAAGCGTTCCATAACAATATGAGATATGACATATTTGGCTTTTTGAAATATAGCTAGCTCTCACAAATAAAGTTTACTGGACAATAACATTTTAAATATAGGGGAAACGTCCTTAAGCTCAAGCGCAAGGGAGCCAAGTGTTTAAGTAGACGACACCGTTGGAAAAATGGGGGGTACAAGATTGGTGCGAATCTTGAGAAGAAATGACAATGAACCATGGTCCGAGAATTATTATGCTGATCATTCATTCTGAGAAGTCTGATAGGTACTGGAGACAGGAAACGTTAGCTGATCAGGGTAAGATATTGGGAGCTTTTGATAGCCGTATCCTACTCAGGATCTTGCTTTAGTTGGACAAGTTTCTTAAGTCCCTTTACATTCCAGGAGGAAACTTGATTGTTCAGATAACAAATACAAATAGATCACAACAGATCCCATGTCAGGCCGGATATAATTTGGCCGGCCTGCTAAAAGAACACAACTTAGCTAATAAGGAAACAAAATAAAAGGGCAAAACACGTCCGTTAAGAACACATGGAAGACTAAACGCATACCCGAGTGTAATCCCACAACAGAAATACACCCCACCCCAAAGTAACAGCACATCACAAGGAGCCCGAAAAAAGAAGCCCAACCATGGAGCTTTGCTGGTCCCTCATTGTCCTTAGTGAGGAACAGCATGAGACCAAAGAACGAAGCCACAACCCCATCCTACAAGTTTTTCCTCGATTGCTAACACACAATTTTTTTTTTAATTGGCTCAGTTTCTCAGAACACTAAACATAAGATTCCAAACCAAACACCCAAAGTGCAAACACCGCATTTCCTCCTACTAAAATGAAGAACTGGCACTCAAAACTACATAAACACTTACCAAATGCAAACTTTAGCACCAAATATCAACCACACTGTGCATTCATATACTGGGATTCTTAGACCACCCAACTGACACACTGCTGAGCCATATCTAAAGCACT